CGCAGTGCTAGTGCTGGGCGGGGAGCGAAGGGAAGGGGCGTGTGGGGCGATCTCGGGCCAGGCCGAGCCGTAGGGCGATGAAGGTGCCGCTGTTACACCTACGGCTCCTGCAACTTCCCCTGAGGATTTCTGTGATGGGGTGAAGACAGGCCCTCCCGGTTACCCCAGGATTAGGAGGTTCAGCGAGGCTTTCCGCCTAAAGCGACAGGACTGTCCAGGGCCTGCTGCGCAGTCCTCTAGCTCCTCTCTTCCAAATAAGGTGGTGAATTCGGCCCACGAACTGCCACTTTCAAGTCGCAGCAGGGGTGTAGTTTCCTGCCAGGGCACCAGGAAGAGGGGCGGGATGGGGCGGCGGGCACAGGGCAGGGAGGGGATTCGCAGCTGGGGCTGTGCCAGAAGCAGGGTGGATAAGAGATCCCCCCCAGACAGCCTCCCTCCTTCTGCAGCTTTCTCACCACCGCTGACCCGGCTCTATAGGTCCTGGTGGGAGTGGCCTCTCTCTACACTTTCGCCAGCCTGACCCAGGCGGGGTGGCCCTCCAGGACCCGTTTGGTCCCAGCTTGGGGACTAACTTGAAGGAACTAGCCTCCATGCCTTCCCTCCTTGGGGAACAAGAGAGATGGAGCAGTCCAGGCAGTGGGAACAGTGGGGACCCTGAATGCCAAAAAGAGCGTGGTCTGGAGAGTGACAGCCTGGCTCCTGCCTCCTCAGTCTACAGTCTTGCGCTCAGATGTCCCCCTTTCCAGGAAGCCTTCAGGCCTCCCCCCACCCCCCCAGTCTGGGCTCAGGCACTTCCGACACTCCCTGGCCATGGCCTTTTCACTTCCAGGAAAGGACCAGCTACGCCTCCTGCTCCCACTACTGTGTACCCAGGGCCTGGGGAATATAGGAGGTGCCAAATATCTGTAGAGCCACAGAACAGGTCAAATGTACTGCAGGTTCCTTTAAAGCTGATAGCATTCCTTGATTAGGGTTTTCTTCGTAAGAGAAATGTCAACACCAGTGCGGTCCAGTAGAAGTTTCTGTGATGACGGGAGCATTCTACGTCCACATCCATACAATAGCCACAGGCATTATCAAGCACTTGAAATGTGACTAGTGTGACCGAGGAAATGAATTTTTAATAATAATGTAATTAATCTAAATAACCACATATGGTTTGTGCTATCCTATTTTTCCAAGTGTATTGCCTTTCCAAGTGTGAGGGGCAGTGGTGGGTGAGAAAGCTGTAGAAGTTGGGGGGTGGGGGGTAGGTCTGGAGGAGCCTGGGAGGTCTCCCTAATGAGTGTGGGCACAGGGGAGCCATTGAGGCTCTGAGCAGGGCTGGGTGCGGGAGGAATGGTGTTTTACGAGGATTGCTCTAGCTGTGAAGTGCTGAAGGGGTGGAGGGCAGCACAGAGGCAGGGAGGACCGTTAGCAACTGCAGATAGTTCTGTGATGCAGGTGAGAGACAACACCCCTTGATTGGTTTGCCACGCCAGTGTCCCTCCAAACACCTCATTCCCATTTCCTCTCACCCTGCAGGCCAAACTCTAGAAAATTCTAAGCAGGGTCACCAACTGGGGGATCAAGTGTTGGACTTGGTGAAGAAACCCATAATTACTCAGAGTGGTTACCTGTCTCCATCGGCTGGGAAGGGTTTGTAGGACTGCGAAGAGCCGAGGAAGCATGTAGCGGGATGGCCGTGAATCCATGGTTACCTACCCTGGGAAGACCACACCCGCTGGGGCCACAGTGTGCTCAACGCAACCCTCTTGCAAGCTTCCAACTTTGGTTTCTAAAAGGCAGCCTGACCTTGGGAAAAACCTGGGCTCTGGAGTCTAGAGGACCCAAGGTTGAATCTGGCTCAGTCACTCACTGCTTGCCTGAGCTTAACCTCTGTTCTTCACTTTTTTTAAAAAAAAATATTTTTTACGGAGAGGAAGGAAGAGGGATAGAGAGTTAGAAACATCGGTGAGAGAGAAACATCGATCAGCTGCCTCCTGCACACCACCCACTGGGGATGTGCCGGCAACCAAGGTACATGCCCTTGACCGGAATCGAACCTGGGACCCTTCAGTCCGCAGGCCGACGCTCTATCCACTGAGCCAAACCAGTTACGGCTGTTCTTCACTTTTTTTTTTTTTAATATATTTTATTGATTTTTTACAGAGAGGAAGGGAGAGAGATAGAGAGTTAGAAACATCGATAAGAGAGAGACATGGATCAGCTGCCTCCTGCACATCTCCTACTGAGGATGTGCCCGCAACCCAGATACATGCCCTTGACCGGAATCAAACCTGGGACCTTTCAGTCCGCAGGCCGACACTCTATCCACTGAGCCAAACCGGTTTTGGCTGTTCTTCACTTTTAAATGGGGCTAATAATATCTATTTCTTAGGGTTGTTGTGAGAATGAGACAAGATACATATGAGATGTACTTAGTCTAACTCGGAGCCTGACATATATATAGTGGAGCCAAATGATTCGTACCTAATAATAATGCTGACTGCAAATGGGCCAATCCTGGCTCGGTCAGGGCTCCTCCTGACTTGGGCTTCCCCGACACAACACACATACACGTGACCTTTAGGTATCACAGGTACTGTGATTGTTGTTTTGTTTGCCCGCCTGGTTTTCCCATTCCCCTCTTCCTGGGAACACCACCCACTTCTCCCACCATTGGACCAGGCATGTGACCTGGTTCTGGCTAGGACCAAAGCAGGGCCAATCAAAGCCTCCTTTGAGGTGGACTGATAAATGAGAGAGAGAGAGAGAGAGAGAGAGAGAGAGAGAGAGAAGCCCCATTTGCAAGTTGAAGCCTGAGTTTGGGCTGCAAATGGCCACCTTCCTTCCTCACCACGTGGACAGAGCCTGTCTGCAGAGGTCGGGCAGAAACCAGGAGGAAGATAGTCTTGGGGACATTGAGTGCTGCTCCAAGGTCCCAGCTTTTGCCGCCGGACTCCTCCCAGCAGTGCGAGCTAGACATTTCTTTTTTGGTCTAAACTGGTGGGAGTATGGCCTCTGCTATTTTTAAAGAAGACACCTGCTTGGTACAGGCACTTGTGGCCTTGAAGTTTGGGGCCATTAAAGGAGTTACCTGAAGCACAGTTAGTGGTGGAACCAGAATTCAGACTTGCCTGGCTGGCTCTAAACCAGCCGTGGGCAAACTACGGCCCGAGGGCCGGATCCGGCCCGTTTGAAATGAATAAAACTAAAAAAAAAAAAAAGACCGTACCCTTTTATGTAATGATGTTTACTTTGAATTTATATTAGTTCACACAAACACTCCATCCATGCTTTTGTTCCGGCCCTCCGGTCCAGTTTAAGAACCCATTGTGGCCCTCGAGTCAAAAAGTTTGCCCACCCCTGCTCTAAACCCACCATAAACTGCACCACACATCATTCACGAGTATTTATTGAGTGCATCCTCTGTGCATCTCATTCCTGCTCCACACCTCATGAAGGGCTCCTGTTCCTCCCTTCGTTCCCACTCTCTAAGGACTCAGGGGATATTCCACTGGGATAGGGCCTGGCATACTCACTGTCTTCCCAGAATCAATACTCCCAGAGTCGTCCTCCCGTGCCAAGGATCTGAGAGGAGCCAGTCACCTGCCTGCCTACCTACCTACCACGGTCGGCTCAACAGGAAGTAAGTCCTAGTCTGGCCCAGAGCCCCTGGGCAGAGATCCTGCCTGCACCCCATTGGGAGCAATGATGATCCTGCTGGCCTGATGGCCATTATATTTATGGAGACACTGAGGTCATTTTAAAATTCCTTTTGACAGCCCTGGCCGGTAGCTCAGCTGGTTAGAGCATTGTCCCCCTACCCCAAGAAATGGGTGCCTTCTCCAGTCAGGGCACATACAGAATCAATTAATGAATGCATAGATAAGTGGAACAACAACTCTCT